CGTATTTCGTGACCACCACGTTCGCTTGCGTGTCGATTATGGCACCAATCTCACGCAGAAAATCCGCTCCTAATATCGTTCGCTGTAGTTCGGGTACAACAATGAAAGGAAACGTCACCTCGCAGCCACCAACAACGACCGTACAGTTCGATCTACCCGTGATACGCAACACATACCCGCCTACTGTTTGTACTGTCAATGAACACGGGCTAACACTCTTACATAAATTCTTATCTATTAACGACACGGCCGCCCCTGTATCTATCAAACATACTACTTCTCGATCATTCACTCGCAACTTCGAATACAGAGCCCTTTCTCAATAGCCCCCACTAAATCTAGGTTCATACGAAAGAAAGAACAAGCATTATACCGTCTGAAATTTTTTCTTTTTCGCCTTTCTGGGCAGTATCTTCTCCAGTGTCCCGGCTTACCGCATTCAAAACACCGGTCTTTTCTATCAGCCAACTTTAACGCCGCCACTTCCCGCTGCAATGCTTCAATTTTCTGCTCATATTCGTTTGGTTTTGGTTGGTCTATAGCGGCTACCGTTGTGCTCAGCAGCTGTCTGGTCACCTTCGCCAGCTCGCTAATATCCATCGGCTGCGTTGCGTTAACCAGTTGTAATCGCTGAGAAATGTGGTCTGGGACACTCTCGATGAATTGGGAAGACAGTAACTGCGCTTCTGATTCTTCATCTAAAGTGGGAAGCGCGCGTCGAAGTAGATTAGTCAGTTTCACCGCCAACACTAGCGGGTCTCCATCAGGTCCAAGCTTCATTGACCGGAACTGCTGCATTGCTAGCTGTCTGTCTGTTTCGCTGTCAAACTCGGACACTAGTCGTTCAACCAATTTCTTCCAAGACGCTGTGCCATTTGACCTGTCTACGCTGTCATATGCAGCCTTCGCTCGGCCTCTCAACAGCGTCCCCAAGACAACTGCCTTCGCTGCCTGCTCCTTGACACCCACCAGCTCAGCAACAGCCTCGAAGTCACGTAAGAAGCTCCTTATGTCTCCTTCTTCAAACGCAGCTGGCCACGGGATCTTCATTTTCTGGAGGCAGCGACACCAAATGTAACAACAGAAGACAAGGGCGAAGCAACAGATCGTTTTATTATGAAAATCAACACGTATTTATACATATTTCAACTACATTATTATAGACAAGCGCAGTCATCTGATTGGTTGTTTATCAGAAGTTAGGTAGACAAACGCAGGCTTCTGATTGGTTGTTTCGGGATTCCTTGACAAATAGAGTTCTCTATCTGCGAATCATATTTTGCCACGTTAACTTTGCTGTGATTGGTTGTTGACTCAGCCTTGTTCATATTTTCTCACGGCCCATATTAGTGACCTAGACCTTAACGTAGATTAGTGCCAACCAATCGGCTAGCAGCCTGCTCTCACCACACTACCATCTGTCGACGGCATTGTGAACAGTATTTCACAGTTCAATTATGACCCAGAGGCTAATGTCACTTTTGACACATGGTATCAACGTTATGAGGATTTATTCACTGTTGATCTCGCCTCACAAGACGATGCCTGGAAGGTGCGAGTTTTGCTACGTAAATTGGGTCCGGCAGAATATGAACGGTACTGCAACCTAATTTTACCACAGAAACCACGTGACAATTGTTTCGATGATACAATAAAGTTGCTGCGTGAACATTTCGGAGACCACTCCTCATTATTCAGTATACGTTATCGTTGCCTCAAGCTGGCAATGAATGAAAATGATGATTTTCTTACTCACGTTGGCACAGTCAACCGAGAATGTGAGAGATTTCGACTCAGGTCCTTAACAGATGATCAATTCAAAGCCTTGATCCTCATATGCAGTCTCCAATCTCCTCGTTTCACAGATATCCGAACTCCACTGCTCAATCAGCTAGAACAAAATCCCAAGTTAACATTACATGACATAGCTGATGAATATCAACGGCTGATTAATCTGCAGAAAGACACACACCTGGTCGAATCAACACCTCCGAGAAGCTCTGATATTCGTGCATTACGCAAGAGCAAAAATCTCTCATCATCTACTCCTGACCCACCTACTTCTCCTAATGTTCCGCGGAAATTTACACATACTCGTCCAACTTCACAAAATACGACAAAGAAGACCCCTCCATCACCATGCTGGCATTGTGGCGCGTGGCACTTTGTAAAGTCTTGTCCGTACAAAAATCATCGTTGCAGCAAGTGCAAAATCATCGGTCATAAAAATGGTTTTTGTCAGCCACGCAAACCCAGATATCATAATCCAGCAAAAGCTCAACAACATGTCGGTCCTAAATCTCCAAGGAGATCATTGAGTCTACGCGCAACCTGTCAAGTCACAACACCAGCTATGCGGAAATATATTGACCTTCAGATGAATGGTCATGATGCACGTCTGCAGCTAGATACCGCCTCTGATATTACTGTTATATCAGAGAAACTTTGGAATAATATTGGAAGACCACCAATCGGAAATACTTCCCAGACTCTTCTCAGCGCCTGTGGTGGGCGGCTCAAACTTATTGGTGAACTCAAATGTTCTGTTTCTTTCCGCACTACCAAATTCACAGGAATTTGTTACGTCACGAAGAATGATTTAAATGTTTTGGGACTTGATTGGTTCGATCGTTTGCATCTGGCTGATGTCCCACTAAATTCTCTACGCAATACAGTGAAGAAGCATAAAATGCCAGACAATTCCGGACGAAGCCGAAGCCGCAAACCCAACAATCAGACGAAACGACAGGCGTCAACAACAAGCCCAAAGGTCCCAGATAAACCCGCAGGTAAACATCCTACTAATCATCCATCTTCTCAAAAGGGGAGGTGATATGTACCCACATATATATATATTTATGTGTGTGTGTGTGCATGTTGGTCTCTCTTTCTGTTTGCTCGGTTAGTCTGTGACCACTTCACTTGTATGGACTTGTCTCTTTTAATAACGTGTATTCTCCTTATATTATATTATATATAATATGAGTGTTTGTTGACAGTCCGTTGCTTGGTTACATATATCCATATATGTTTGTTGGCATGTCTGCTATATTCGCTATGTATAATTGGATCGACACTCCATTATAATTAGCCATTCATGTTAAGACTGTCTAATGACTTTCCCACGCTTGTCTGAATTATTTATTATATATATTCGCATTCTCAATTTGTGTGAACTACTTTACTTTACAACTACTTTACTTTACTTACTTATCACTTTGGTGTGAGACCATTTATTTTCGTCTCCTTGTGTTTGGACAATAGAAGTATCATCGCAAACCTAGTGGTCTTCTGATTTCCGCCTTCTCGCGTCAGGACTATTAGTTTCTCGACCAGTCCATAACAATAATTTAGCGACGAGTACATAACAATTTGGCGACGGGGAAAACTAGTACATAACACTATGTCATATGACATACTTTAAGTTACTACTTTAAATGTAAATCTTGTACAGAGACAAATATTGTGGAGTACTGAAATTTTCTGTACCATGTACACAGTTCAGAAATATGTGAACAGATATTAGCATACTGTCTGAAATATTGCGAGATGCTTTCGCGCAAGGTATGGCAAACGACGCAAGCGATATTCCAGATGCGTAACGAAGTTGATATGACACCTTTAAATGTAGCCAAACCCAACATCTGATGTGATAACAACGTTCTTCCTAGCACATAGTGCAAAGACCAATTCCCTAAGGAAATTCAAATCGTAACTGACTGCCTCTGTTGTAACTATTCACTATTATATTGAAGACGAAAATGCGGCAAATTTGTGCTGCAATAATCTACATCTTCACTGTTTAAATCATCAATCAAGTAAGGCAGAAAGGCTAAATTTAGAAATAACAAGGAGACAGTTTTAATTCCATGTCGTAAATCATTCATTCACCAAGTTAAGCGACGGTTGCTGCCAACGGAGTGCGACTACGACATTGATCTTAAGTGGATCAATGAGTGTCTTCACGTGAATTCAAGCTTTCATTCAACTTGACTCGAGTGAGATGCCTGCTCTAACGACGTTACGTCCGAATCTTGGTATAGACTGAACTCTTTAGTATTGCTTGGATGTAGGATCGGTTGGAAAGGAAAGAATTTGTTCATGTGAATGTATTATGAGTATAAAAGTAGGTGCAGTAGATCGGTTGATGGACACATTCACTGTTGTGAAATTCAATTGAGACGAGTAGTGTAAGGCGATGTAAACTAAATGATTACATTATTTCTTAGCCATATTTCTTGGTAGATTGCTTTTGTCATAGACCCAGATCTGTATTATGCACAGATGAGGGGAAACAATATAATTCATTGTTATCCCTGGGATTTATTCACTTAATCACCCTGAAGATTTTGTGGGTCCTGTTACATACACCCACACCAATTGTACTAACGGATTTTAGGGAAGACCGAAAAAACAAACCGATTAAAGCTATTAACGGATCTCAAAAGAAGATTATTTACAGCAATTCAAATGAATATATGTATAGAATATTGTTGAGCATCTCTGTTCATACTCCTATGAGAAACTCGGAGTGAATTTTGTCACACTTAGGACAATGGTGTTCTGTGTGACATTTTTATGCCTTTCAATACATTATATATATATATATATATATACAATACCGCAAAAATATCATTTTCCATGCGACTGATGCTTCCAAGGGTATTTGCTAGTTGGTATTTACTGATACGCCCATTCATCATGCTAACCTGTAAAATGTTTTATCGAGTTACACAGATGATAATCTGAGCGAAATGAAACAACTGTAAAAAGTTCACAAGTCTATTTTTATATGGAAAATAACCAGTAAGATTTACAATGCTTTCGAACCAGGCAATAGATAATACAATAGTAAGAATAACAAAAGTAATACTGATGGATACTAGGTGAAAATAACTCTACATATGTATGACTGATAAGTACAAAGTAAAATTACATTCACGGGACTAAGAAATATTGTACATATCGTAATGCACAGATTATTATTATTATTATTATCATCATCGGTATAGTTGTCTTAAATATCCCGGTAACTTTAATCCTATTCGTTTTAAATTATCACGAAAATGATTAGGTAGTGGTGCATAAAATTTAAGAGGACCTCTGTTATTATTCATAGAGTTAGCAGACCCTTTTGAACGAATAAAATTGAAAAAATCTCCACCATCCATAGATGATAATGATGTTGTTGGTGTGACACGAAAATGTACACTTGAAGCATGCAAATGTAATCCTAGATAACGTACTTTAGACTGTCTAACTTTAAGTGCTTCTAATAAATACTTTGGTAAACGTTGTGGTGCTAAATATTCAGCATGAGAGTATTTATGATCACCTAATATTGGTGTCTGTAAGCCAAATGCTAAATGAGCTCTGATTTGATGTTTGACACCTTGAAAGTACAAAAAGTAAACAAGAAAAGAAAGTGATTAGACTAAATTACAAATAAAAGTTCACAGATAAGAAATTCCAGAAACAACACATTAAAAATTCAAAAAAAAAAAAAAAATAATTATTATTTTTTGAGCGTCAATTATTAGAGAGGGAACATCAGCGGTCTTAGCAAAGATATCGGTAGGTTGGTATGGCCGTATCGGCCGTACCCAGAGTTCGCTATCCAAACGTATCATCGAACACTTACCAGCATGGTTTTACAAAGGAGAAAAACGATGCCCCGGCAGATCTATCTAAAAACGTCTGATAGATTCCGGACACCAAAAGCTACACCCCAAACAAACTTCAAAGAAATCTACAGAATACGAAGCAGTTTTCCTAAAATTGTACGAGTCAGACTTCTTCGAACTGCAGAAACAATGACAATTCACTTGCTAAGCCCTGAACTCTGCATAGAGAAGAAATTCGTTCAATCACTACACTTGCAATGGCTAGAGTCCTAACCACTGTGCCACCTAGTTCTCTAGAGAAAATCTTACCTGCAGCAACGCTAAGAGTGATGTTCTCTAGCCACCCAATACTTCCAAAAAATGCGAAAGACAAACTCCTGAATATGACCACTCCAATGTACATAAATCAGTTCATCTGCTCTTGCGTAGCTAAGTACACAGGTCGTTCTATGCGCGTCCTTTCAAGACGTGTTACAGAATAGTATCTCTCATGGCTGCGGAGAAGAGGCACTGGATGAATCAGAGGCGCCATAACTGAACACCTCGTCAACATCTTTCACAGTGTTCCAACTGACGCAATATTCACAACCATCTACAAATTAAACAAAAACCTACCAAAGACAATATGTTTCCAACTTCTTTGTAAAGCAGAACCCCTCGCCGTATAGATCAAAAACCCGAGGCTCTATGCGTTCAATAGAGCCATAAGTTCCATAAAGCAAACGCCCACTGTATTAAATAAACTTTTCCACCAACAGTACTGAAGCCATTTATTCAGGAGCTTGTATTCTAAACAAAATTTCGTTGAAATTTAGAACTAGCAGAGTAAATTGGCTATCTGGTTTAAAGCGATAAATCCTACGAAGACGATTGGTGCTGGTGTCATCCTTAAATTCATACACAGTCTGTCAGCCATTATGATTATTATTATATCCTTGGTTGTAGACCTCACTAGTATAAGACATGATGACAACTTCCTTATGTTTGCACCTCGACTTTAACTGAATATACGAGCGAATTGCTAATTTTTCCAGCTGTAAACAGACTAAAATACATATAGGATTAATGGAATACGAACATACACTTTGCTTTCTATTCTACTGAGAAGTGAGGCATGAAGATCGTAGTTTATTGGAAACAGAAATAAGGGAAATATGGTAACACAATCATGACTACTGACATAAAAAATAGAACTAGATGTTTCACAGGAGTTTGGAAGAAGATTCACAAAGTTTTGAGTAAATGACTTACAACAAAGCGCTATATTTAACCTTAAGTAATTGACCGACAACTAATCAAATCTGAGCACAAGCAAAAGAAAATTCAACTTTAATTCAGTTTGTTAAATCTACTATTATCTCATGCTACTCAAACCCAATCTGTGCTTGGAGAAAGAAAGGCACTATACTTTATCTCAGTTTACCTTGGTAAAAATCATCCCAATTACTGCATAATTGTGTCTGTTTGGATTCAACATAGAACTGGGCACCGAAGTACAGCAGTTCGAGTTGCCACGTTCCAAATAGCACACAGAGTTAGACAAGAAGATGAGTGAAGAGAATCAATACAGTCTGACAAGTATAAGAGCGAGACAGAATGGGTAATGGTAAAAAGGAACATGAAAGATTACAGAGACTGAATACATCTGCGCCATTGACAACGATTTTGAGCCATGTCATCTATTGTCTCCACCCATTGATTCCTAGAGTTCCGAGGACCCCAACCCGGAAGTCTGCATCTCCCTACCTGACGACTCAGTTTAACTGTCAAGGATTTCATGGATTGATGAGGCCATGTTTTTGTTTGGCCACCACTTACTCTTTTCCAACCTCCACCTATCTATATCAGCTAGTAATGCCCGTCGTCGGGGGAGGCAATGGTTAGGCATGCGCACCACCTGACCTAGCCATCTCAATCTATGTAACTTTATAGCCTCGTCGACTGATTTTCCCTGTTTGCCCAACACTACGTCTAACGTCAACATTACTTACCTTATTAAACCACCTAACGTGAGACAGAGATCGCAGACATCTATGATCGAAAGCAGTCAACCTTTTCATGTCTTTAACGCGTATTGGCCATGTTTCAGAGCCATAGAGAAGGACGGAGCGAACTGATGAGCAGTACACACGTCCCTTGGTTGATAACCGGATGTCACGCCTACGCCAGAGATGGTGTAAGTCAGCGAAAGCAGCTCGAGCTTTTGGATCCGTGCTGAGATTTCGTCACCAATCAGTCCGTTGGTGCTGATACAACTTCCCAAATAGGTGAAGTGGTCAACATGTTCTGTCACTTCACTCCTTATCACTCAGCTAGGAGTTGATGTAGTCCAGTCCTGTAGCAGCATCTTACATTTTGTAGGGGCGAATCGCATACCAAACATACGAAGATTGCTGCTCAAGGTGTTCAGAAAACTCTGCATTTTGTCAGCATCCTCCCCTAACAGGACTAGCATAATTGTGTATGGTGTTTTCGTGAAAGTTCAGCATTAGACACCAAAGAGGTGCAGACACACCAGTGACATGGGAAAGTGATCGCGCTGGAAGGCGAATTTGCACCCCACTAGCCTGATCTAAATCTAACCAGATATCCTTTTTGGCATCATCACACTTCGTTCAACACTTTCTTTCATGAATATAGTACCATTTACTCGGCTTCACCGCCTTGGTTTCCAAGGTGACTGGCCCGTTTTCACCTAAAGGTTACGTTTGCCCTTTGTTTTCTACCGCTAATATGGTTATTGCAGCTATTATTATCACTATCATCATCCTTCTTTAGATCTGTGATCGTAACTCACTTAACCGATTTCAGATCACTTCCAAATGCCTTTTTATATGTTAGTTACTACGTAATCCTCTTTCTGTATGTCTGCTGGTTAAATAGCAGTGTCTTGACATAAGCCATAAAACAGACACCTCTCCGATATTCATCCAAATTTATGGTAAACATCTAGTTCTTCATGCCGGTTGTCACATTTCACTCATTGTTATTTCTTTAAACTACGATTCCCATACATAACTCCTGTTTAAAAAGAAATAAACTCTATGACCATTTTTTTAAAAATGTATTGTATATATTAAGCTACCTACAACTGAAGACAGGCCTTGAAATAATGTGGGCACACTTTAAATTGCAATCCCATTCAAGCCTTGGCGAATATAAATTTCAGTTTTGATCATGATTTGACTTCATTTAAAGAAACATTGAGAACCAACATGATGTAGTGGACAACTGTTTCGTCCTTGTTGGGGACTCTTTACAGCGTTCACCGATGACCCTACCAGGAATCGAACCCAGAAAAATTCATATACCATTCAGCCACTCGGACGGAATCCAACGGTCTATCAATCCTAACTTCTGCCAATTCACCATATAGTACGATTACCGAATAAAATCCCTGCAAACTAACAATAGTGACTCACTACAAGATGAAGTCTGCATAGGGTCCTAGAGGGAAGTAGTGATCAGTGGGGTCTACTAACTTGGGTGTGGGGAAACGTACTCACTGATGGCATTGATTGGTGGTCGTGCCATATCGCGCATTGACAGAAGTCAAAATCTATGGACTATTAAGTTCCGTCGAGTGACTGAATGGTATACGAGTTCGCCTTGTGGCCTGAAGGTTCTACGTTCGATTCCTAGTAGGGTTATGGGTGCGTACTGCTGAAGAATCCCAAACAAGGAAGTGACAGTTGCCCAATACTCCCTGATTCTCCAACTGAAGTCAGACCGTGAAATCAATCAAATCCCTGCAAACCAACATTTGAAAACACAAAATTGTATGCAAAAAGTGAATACATTTACACTGATGTATAGGAAGCATACCTGTCAGTGTTGAACAAAGCATTAATGCAGCAGAATTTCGTTTATCCAACATATGATACCATGTGATTGGATTTTTATTTACTTGCATTTTAGTTTGTAGCAGAGAAATAGCATCAGTTATGTCACAGTCTTCTGTTGTATGACCATCAGTCATATGATTATCAACATCTAATTGCATCTCTTTACATATCTTTTCTTGGGTATGGCGATCCAACTTAGGAATACACATCTAAAAGAAAGTGAAAATGTAAACTTACGTTATTATTGAAAATTATATCGAAGGGGTTGTAATGCATACAGTTTACATTGATGCATTCAAAAATGTTTTCCATCAAATCACATTACAGACTGAAAATCTAAACAATAAATTCCACTTCAAGTTGAAAAGTATTGCTTCAGTTTGTTCACTTAGCCCCCGGATTCTCAAAAAAAAATTTACCTTTTTCGTTCTCTCTGTATGATTTTCCTCTCTTTGTCTTCAATTAATTAACCCCATTTTTTCAGTTATAAGAACAGTTATTTTAAGTTTGTTTCCATGCTCTTCCTGTTCCCATTTGTTATTCGTTTAAAATAACTATTTTACAGTTATATTCTAATCCTGTATAATTTTTGTTTCTAAGCCTCTTGTAATAAATTTATTTTTGTGGCATGAATATATTCTTTCCAGATAACGAAATGAAGTTCATTCACACTTTGTTTCCGATTCCCTCCTTTCCGGCTTCACACTTTGAGTTCTGAGGTTGCAGCAGCAGCGGTATTTTTACGGGGTGAGGTGTCACTAATTTCATCCTCCCAACTTTCATTCTTGTCCGGTCTTCCTACCAACTAATAAATTGAGGTTCGGTGTAACAGTAGAACACAAGAGTATTTGGCAACGGAATTATTTGATTACAGGATTTCATCATGCGCTGACATTAGTTACAGAACCATTGGAAAACCTGGGAGCACTGGACAGCCAGCTGTTTCCTCCGTCCCAGTTTCGGACTCTTCAGCAGTACGTACCCGCCGCCAGGGTTAGAACCCAGGACCTCCTAGTTACAAGGCGAGGTAGCTCGTAGACCATTAAGTCACTGGGACCCAACCAAATGGTCCTTGAATTCCTACTTCTGTCAATTCACGACATATTGCGACCGCTATTCAATGTCTTCGGTGGGCATTTTGTCCTCACACCCGACCTGCTGCACCCTACTGGTCACGACGTCCCACTAGATTCCCAAGTAACTAACTACCCGAATAGAGCTAGTCAGATCGTGATGAAATCCTGTAACCAATCAGTAGAATCCCTACAAACCAATACTTGAAAAACGGAATTATTTATTGGCAACTCGAAATACAGATACAGGCAAAATAAGTCTGCAATATATATATTAAAATCACAATTTGAGCAAATCTTCGGTATTGTACTACTTTTGTCTTCCTTTTATTTTTTTAATGTTGTTTCACAAACATCGCTTATCTCTACTGCTCGCCATTACATTGATCTCTCCTTTATTCGATATTTTTGCAGATGATATACAATATTCATACCTGTATACTACTTATAAGTCTTGTCAGTAGTACACGTCACATAAGGAGTACATCAGTTGGCTGGGAATGGGACGCGGACCTCCTGAATGGCTAGCTAGCATTCTAACATTGAACCACCGATACACAATGATTTTGATTCACGGTAAAGAGGGATATTTATAGTACTATGAAATGAAATAACTTTAAATACTATCAGTTAACTCTTATTCTCAGTAATATGAGAGTTAATTACACAGAACTCAATGGAAGTATTTTTTATCTTCTGCTACCTGAAATTTTACACAGCTGTAACTATTAAAATGTAAATAGTTAATTGCTAGGCAAACAACTTAGCGTGGCATTTAGCATTTCTTTTGTAATTTAAAAATATTCCTGTTACTGGATGTTATAAATACCATCAGTAGAAGGAAGGCAAGATAATAGAGATGAAGATGAAGACAAAGATGATAGAGGATTAGAGAGGTTTCGTGTGCATTTCGGATTGTGAGGGCGATTGTTACTTCCCGGCTGCCTACACCGCGTGACCGCAGAGCCCAGGGGACAACTGCTTAAGGCCAGTCACACGCGGCCTGTTTTTGTTTGGTGTGTCTCAGTAGCATATTTATCATTTCTGCCCTGTGACACGGCAGCAGGAAGCGCGGTCGTTGTTAATCCGGGTCCCGACCGATCCGGCATGACATTTTGTGAATTTGTTTGAATCTTAGTATTGGATCTTGACCTAAAGGCGGGATTCGATTCTGTCGACCGAGAGGTTCTCTGGAGATGCTTGGCTGTAAAAGGAATGCCGAAAAAATACATTGCACTGATTAAGGCACTCACTCTACTCGAACTCATGAAGCCAGGTGAGGGCTTATGGCAAGTTGTCATCTGAAGTGGTGACGACTAGTGGTGTCCGTCAAGGATGCCCATTATCCCCATTTCTATTCAACTTCATCATAGATGTGTTAATGGACTTAACCCTAACTCACTTCAGCGACTCAGGGATTGACTTGCTACCAGAGAATAATCTCGTGGACTTAGAATATGCAGACGATATAGTCATTCCAGGTGAGGACGCTGACAAAACCGGGTAGAGTCTTCTGAACGCCTTGAGCCGCAATCTACGAATGTTTGGGATGCGATTCGCCCCCGCCAAATGCAAGATGATGTCACAGGACTGGACTACACCGACTCCTAGAATAGAAATAGGAAATGAAGTGGTAGAGCACGTTGACCGCTTCACTTATTTGGGAAGTACTATCAGCCCCAACGGGTTGATCTCTGACAAAATCTCAACACGGATACAGAGGGCTAGTTTCGCATATGCCAGTTTACGCCGCCTCTGGCGTAGACATGACATCCGACTATCGACCAAAGGGCGATTGTACTGCTCATCAGTCCGCTCCGTCCTCCTTTATGACTGTGAGACCTGGCCACTGAGAGTGGAAGACATTAAAAGATTAGCTGTTTTTGATCATAGGTTCCTGCGCTCTATTTCCCGTAAGAAGTGGCGTAATAAGGTGAGCAATATTGAGGTTAGGCGTCCAGTTCTAGGTAAGCAGGGAAATCAATCGACGAGGTTGTGAAGTTACAAAGACTGAGATGGTTAGGATATGTGTTACGCATACATGCCTAGCCATCAATCACCTTCCCCAGAGGCAATGTTAGCTGATGTAAGGTCAGGCTGGAAAAGAGCTAGCGGCGGTCAAACAAAAACATGGCACCAGTCAATGAGATCTACAACAGTTAGTCTAAGCCACGTAGGAAGGTGTATACTTCCTGGTTGGAGTCTTCGGGACGGTAAAAACCAATGGTTGAAAGCAATTGGTGATATGGCTCAAAATCGTTCTCAATGGCGCAGATGCATCTACTCCTTGTGACTCATGATTTCCAATGAAACTATATCGTTCTTCGTTATTACTATTCCTTTGTCTCACACCTCTGTTTACTGTCTCTACTGTGCATTTCTTGTACTTTCTTCTGTTGCTTTGTGTGCTACATGGAGTGTGGTGACTTGAACTGTCGCACATATGTGCAAAGTTCTATGTCGAAAACAGACAGAGAGACAGATAATTAGCATCTTTATGGAAATAACTTTATTCTACATAGTATTTGTAAAGACAAACATTAGACAACCACAATTTGGGTGGTTTGAAGCGACTCGACTCACTTTGAGACGATTAGATCAGTGTACAACGCCATTGGTAACTTGGATGCTGAAACCAGTGGTTAGTGAAAGTTTCTTGTAACTAAACTATATAATAGGTAGCTCTCATCATCCTGCCTTACCAAATCGATTATATTTCGAAAGAATTTCATAATAGTGCTCATTTTAACTGGTATTGATAAAGTTTGATTGGTGAGTACTTATATCATCACTTTTAATAGAGAAGTTTGTAAACCAGATGTCAAACCAGTGCTCAGATTTGATATCTGAGCAAAAGGCAATGGCACTGAAATATTTGCAGTCGATTAAACCAGATGCCGAAAATCCGACAAAAAGTAGGCAATTTTGGAAGTACTACAGAATGAGGCAGAAATTCAGCTTTTATTATAATAACTACTATAATAGATTACATAATCTTCTCGTAATTTCGGGTCGTAATGTCTTCATCACCAAACAAAGTGATGAGTAGTTAATTCGGAAAGCAGTAACTCCAGCACAATATATATCGTATATGCTATTTTGATGTAACTACTCGTCAAATAATCGAAAAATTACAAGGATTTAGTAGTAAGTAACTCAATGCATATAATAATAAAAGATCTGAGAACCTGCAGGTCAACAAGTACCTAGCTACACTACTTATTTAGCCACTGAGTACTATAGAAGTAGCATGAGACACAGCTGTAGTCTAGTTTTCACCACATAGTTAATATCAGTCAGCATGTATTACTCTCGAAGATGACAACGTATTACCTTACGAATCCCACTGAAATTTCGTTCAATCAACGGTAATTGAATATAACCATACTCTGATCTTGGTATACCAACAGTGACGCATAAATAATCCTTTTTAATCCAACGTCTAGAATATGCTTCTTGTAGTTTTAATGCAGCATCTCTGTTCCTTTAATAATGAAGACAAAAAACATAGAGAGATTAAGTAAGATGCGCATAAGTAAGGAACAAGTGTTATACACTGTATAAGAAACAACCTTTTGCCAAGTATACATTGAATCTGGTTAAGATCTTTGTTACTAACGAGAAGCCAGCACGAACTGCCAATGAACATAGATGAAGAGTAATGAAGCACTCAAAGGCTGCACCTCCGAATTGCATATTAAAATGCTTCACCCCATGTTTATAAAGTGCACACATTTCCATAAGTCATATCACACTAGGTTACCTATTTAGACAACACTGAAGACCACGTCTTATGCGACTGACTTACTTTTTACTACAATCTCATACGAGACAATATACTCAAGCACTCCTCAATGACTTGGACGAACATACAAGCAAAATTATCGAGTTGCAATTCACACATCTCAAGGTGAAATTTCACCACAACTTCCTTTTGAAGCTGGAATTATTCAGAACGCAATATGTGACCTGCCTTATGCTATAAAATAGCAATCGAGAAAGCAGATGCAGCTGCATGCTGTCGCATACTGCTGTAGTGAGAGCTGTCTGCAAGCCAAAGTTATAAATAACAATTTACGTCAATGTTTACGTCCCGAATCAGATTCAGCAGAGGAAACAATATGTAGGCCTGACCTTGAGAAACTCAACAACCAATAACAGCAGACAGCGTGGGCGGATATGATTAGCATATATATGACTGAACTGTCTAAGAAACGGCAACAAAGAGATGACAGAATAACCTTCAGCGGGGAAACAACCAATCAGAAGATGCTGCTTCTCTGCTAACAATAACCAATAATAATACACATAAGCCGTGTTTAGTGCTGTCGTATCACTAAGCATTTGATATTAAATCATTTTTATTTATCTATAGCCTTTGTTCACGCTGAAAGGAAGATATAAACCTGAAATGATCAGGAACCACGTGAATCATGTTCATATTTAAGCGAACAGTAAGTCACATGTAATACTACATTTTACACTTAAATATGATCACATGCTTATCATTATCAACAAAATAACAAACACGGACTGTAAGTTTCGACTATTTTAGGCAAAAGTACAAAGTTTCGGTTAATGAATTAGATAAAGTATTGTGACTAGTTCAATTAGCAATATACAGGACTAAATTAGTCAACGTTCTTTGAAATGCATGTTTATACACTTGTGAGAGGAGTTAATAATACCATCCACTTGAGGATAGAAGACTGTAGGTGGAATGTGATTCAACCTGGTGTTACGTACGTAAGCTACTAATGAAACACACCTCCGCGATTCAAATATGAAGTAATAAGTTTCAATGAAATCTACCCCACAAAAGCAAATGGGAACATAGGGCGGCTTCAAGCTTCAGCTTTGAAATTTCCGTACCTCAGGTACATTTATACAGGGTGGGGTTGCTGGCCTACCGTCCAATCTTCCCTCTTTACTGCACTTACTGCTAGCTAAGCCAGATTCAGGAGTACATGCGACTGGAATCGAACCTAAGTCACATGTTTGTTTGGCAGCCATTCCTACTAATGAATCACCGACATACTATGGTCACAAGTACGTGAATGATAATTTTTTGTTTACAATAATAGAAATAGCATATCAAAACGGCTTGAAGCATCCAAGTAAACATCTTCTAAGTGCACGTTACCTGGTTGTTATTATTAATGTTCCCTTTTATTCCGAGAGGAATATAAGGCCACAACAACAAATCTCCAATTTGTCTTGTTATCTACGGTCCTCTTCAGATGGCCCCACGACTGCCCATTAGCTTTTTTTTCTCCTCACACAATCTACCCACTGCCACCCTCGGACGCCCAAATCGTTGCTTTCCATTAGAGTTCAACTTGAGGGCCTGGTGCGCGATGTCAACCGATAGCCTCTTTAGCGTGTGTCCGGTTCATCTCCATTTCCTTCGGAATGCAGATGATTGGTTTGTTCCCTAAGTTTCTTGATGGAAACACAGAAGGCAGCTCTTGATAAAAACCTACAGTAGCCTGTTGGAAATGCTTTCCGTGACGCGGATACCAAGTTTGTGAACCATAATAGAAGTGACTCGATGTAGAAAATCTGAGGCCCGTTCTTTATGCTAGCTGAGTGCAGAAGATTTCCAAACTGGTTTCAGTTTGATGAAGGCGTTTCTCGCCTTTCCGATCCTGGTTGGTTGGCTTTGACATCCTTATCCGTTCCGCTAGCCCGTGGTTGAAACTGTGCTTCCCGGTCAAACAGGTGAATGAAGTAACCTGTGTTAAATCTTTCCCGGTGATGGTGATTGGTGCTGGTTGTTGCTGTTCTTTAGTTGTCTTAATCACTTGCGTCTTCGCTATTTTCACTTGAAATCCTGTCTCCACTACCTGCCTTGTCTGACAGTTTGTTAGTTTTCGGCTATGGGTCCTAGAGTTTGTGTGACATCAAACGTAAGCCATACATGGATTCCTGATCTTCTAGAGTATTCTTATACGTCCAACGTATTCCATGTGTTCTTACTGTCAACAGTTTCCCCCCATAGTCCAGTCCACCACAATCAGGAATACCATTGATGATAATAGGCAGCATTGCTTTATTCCCGTCTTCATTTCAAAGACTTCTTTGCCGCTTTGAACCACCTGACACGTGGCAAAGTCATACAGCCAGTTGTTGAATGAGGTTGACAAAGATTTGGGATAATGCATAGTGTTGAAGCAGTTTTCAATCAACTTCGCTGCCAATGCTGTCAAAGGCCTTTTCAAAGTCAATGAAATTGAGGTCGCAGTTTGATTGCAATTCTATAACTCTGTTCTATGATGATGCATAGAGTTGCAATTTGATTCACACATGATTTGCTTTTCCTGAATCCAGTTTGTTTCAATCGGAGTAAGGCTCCCGGGTTGGAGAATCTTAATTTCTTTCGTTTTTTAAGGGTAGGGATTCCTCAGAGAGATAAGAATCAATAGCTGGAGACTATTGGTGATATGGCTCAAAATCATTCTCGATGGCGCCAATGTATTCACTATTTTTGGTCTTCTATATCCACTAAACTGTTATGTATTTTCTATGTTATTATTCTTTCTCTTTTCTTTTATGTGCTATACGAAGTGAGGCAACTTGAACTTGTGCGCTAAGTTCTATCTTGAAACTTAGTTAGCCAATCACGGGTGAATTTTACAATAGGGATATTACAGTTAAAAGATTTAAAGGTAAATTTTGTTTTGATAAAGTCTCACAGTGTTATACAGTGATGTTTACTGATGACGTTTCGAGCACAATTTATTGCTCATAATCATATCAAGGTAATCACACGACTTCCTAAATTCATTTATATAGTTCCATTGTTTTTCTCTTGATTTTCACTTGATTTGATTGGTAATAGTATTTTCCATATTTCAGGTATGAGTGATGAGTCATTCCTATTGCATGTGTTGGGGGTGTAGACTCGATGAACAAGGATTTAGTAATCAACCTCTCTCTCCCCCTACCTAGATTACTTTTTAGAATTTTAACCCTCTCCCATCCTATTGTGTGGTTGTGTGTTAATGCATGCAGTGCAATTGCTGAGCTTTTTTCTAAATTACGTATCTTCTCGGGGTCAACCATTCTTACCTTAGTTAAATTCCTATGTTCTGACAATCTGACTATTCCTGACCTACTAGTTTGACCTATGCAGTTGACCACATTCACAGTCATTGCAGGGTATTTTGAAAATTACATTAATTTGTCTAATTGGGTCAACTGGGTCCTTTAACCTACAGAGCTTGTCCCTGAGTGAGTTTGTAGGTTTAAATGCCACCCTAATTCCTACTTTACTGAGAATCCTACGTAGGGTCTCAGATGCCCCCTCTTTATATGGTATAACTGTAGAGGACTTATATTCTCTCTTATTTATGTTATTATTACTAGTTTAGTAATTGTTTTTTCTTTTTCTTTTGGCCTTTTTCAATCTTCCTAATGAATTTTAAAGGATAGTTATTTAACACCAAAGTGAGTGATCAACCTCGCATCAAGGGAACTAAGCTCTAGTGAGATAAAAGTACTTGAGAAAGGACTAAATTTCAACGTAACAGTTAATAAATTAAAACCAGAGGATGTCATTCCTAACATAGAAGTAGCACTTAGCTCAATAGATAAGACGACAGCAGAAGAGGTTTTATCTTGTTTGAGACTAATTAAAGGTAATCTTTTCGATGTTGTTAAGTTTGATTTTGTTTTCTTTTGATTTTTCAAGGTTAATGCACATTGTGCTCGAACCTCTTCTGCTGTCGTCTTATATATATATATATATATATAATGTCAGACAATACAATTGACTATAGTATCTGTATAAACTAATACAAATAGATGAGGCAGTACCAAAACTCTACTTTAGTCCTCATCCTATCAACTACACACGAGGTCTATTAGGCGTGCTATCCTTCACATCAATAAACATTACACTCTGAAAATGCCAGCCGCACAAAGAATTTGTTACTGGTTATAAGTCTGAAGAACAAAATATCGCTAGAAGAAAGTGGTAACAACACACAAAAAAATAATACACTAAGCAGCCCAAACAACTAACAAATTAAAAAATTCGTTAAAATTAGACCAGTCCGTACAATTATACACCTACACTAGAATGAGTCGCCAAATAAGCTTGAAAGTATATGATAATATAATATTCTACTAATATGAAGTTGGTTATAGGAGATTTGAACCAGACATGGACTAATGAAAAGTCCAGAATGCAACTAGTATGTATTCTTGTTTCAACTTAATAACTACACAATATTTGTACGCTGAACACGTGAACATAGAAAAAACAGAGATGATGAAGACTCCTAGCCAACATCGAAAACAGGAACAACAACAGACAACAATCAGCATAAGTGGGAAGAACCTGAAAGAAACAACCTCCTTCACCTACCTGGGAAGCATCGTCTCAACTACAGGCGGAACTGACGAGGACATCAAAGCCAGAATCGGAAAAGCAAGACAGACTTTCATTACTCTTAAGTCTGTGTGGACGTCAACAGCACTCAGCATCAAAAATAAGATTCGGATTTTCAACTCCAATGTGAAGTCAGTGCTACTATACGGATCAGAGACTTGGCGAATCATAAAGAGCATCTCAAACAAACTCCAAACCTTCATTAACAGCTGTCTCCGCTCAATACTCAAAATCAGATGGCCAGAAAAGATCAGCAACAAGGATCTCTGGGAGCGAACCAATCAGGAACCGATTGTGAAACAAATAGGCAGAAAGAAATGGAGATGAATTGGCCATACGCTGAGGAAACCATCAAGTGACATCACTAGACAAGCCCTCGAATGGAACCCGAAAGGGAGGCGGCGAGTTGGTCGTCCAAGGGTGACTTGGAGGAGATCATGCGAGGAGGAGATGAAAGCATATGGACAGACCTGGAGCAGGGTGAAAAAGTTGTCAGAAAACCGAAGGCAATGGAGGTGCGCAGCTGAAGCCCTATGTTCCTCTAGGAACTAAAGGATACAATAATAATAAATAATAATTTGTACGCTGATAATATCGAGTGATCTGTATAAGAGTCATTCAACAAAAAATTACATATCTCATAAAAATTTCACAAAAATTAAATCTGAATATTTAAATTTTTTGAATTTTGTAGAAAGGACACGATTTTATGGAAAACAGTCAAAGTTACAAAGGAACAGAAACCAATCAGCTTCATGCATCAAGGTCAGTGGAATTCATTGGATTAAATCGATCAAAGTTAATATGATGGTAGAGATGGAATTGTTTTCTAGTCATATTCATCAAAAACTACCCTTCATTTTAAGATACGATTTTCTGGAAATCCAAAATGATAAGCTGTTTTCATTTTTATTCAATATATATTATATATGTTATTAGGCAGACAAAAAAATACGAAATAATCATGGCTGTAAACCAGTTTGATGCATAAATTTTCACTTAAAATAAAAAAAGTCGGTAAGCAGATCACCGCAAAACATTTTTATATAAAGTATAAAATTTTCCGCACGAAGGATACTGGACGTAAACAATAGCGGTAAACACGTTCAGACATGAGTTATATTGGATTGATCAGTTAAATTAGTTATCAAGACCAGGATTTTCATACATCAGACAATGAACCACACTCACTGTACGTACGACAGCTGGTGATGCCACCCCAGTTAACTAGGCCGAATTAAGTGAAGGGGGATTCAGATTGCAAACTCATGACTGAAAGTTGAATACCTAACCCAATTAATCACATTTCCATTCTGATATGAAAGAATATTTTTACGGATTATGATAGTGGGGAATGAAGTATGGGGATATCGACGCATGATGCTGCTGTTGGTGCGATTTGCAGAGTTGGTCGGTGATAATCGTCATTCGAAAGCCCTTAGAGGAGGTGAGACTCAAACACACGTCCTTTTTGAACTGGTACCTAAAACCAGCACCTTAGACCTACTGAATACTCTACCGATATGTTGAGATGCAAAAGATGGTGAAGTATACCTGCGAAGCTTGCAGACAGAGGAAACTTTAGTAGAGGACTATAGCGATTCCGACGCATAAAATGAGTATGAGGGTGAAAGGCTAATCGAACCATCTAGTAGCTGGTTCCCTCCAAAGTTTCTCTTAGCATAGCTGGCATTCTGAGAAATAAACAGATTTACTCCATAAAGTGAATGAACAGAGGCATTAGGGGAAAATCAAGCTCAACCAATTTTTAAACAGTGAAAAGGTGAGAAGCTTAACTCGCTCAGGTGGAGTCTAGCTGAAATAATTTCTTAGAAATGTGGTACATTGGCTTAAGTACTCGAATTACGGACAATGAGTTCCGGGTTCGGCTTCTCCCTTATTACTTCAGTCTAGGCGCATGGAATGTTATTGAACAGAGAATATTCTTCTCGATAATCTCTTCTACATCAGGTTCTACAGTTATAAATACATAATAGTGAATGAATTAGTGTTATTAACAACGTCAATGTTGTTTAAATAACATAGAGTCAATAATTAGTTTACAGTTCTGTAGCATTAACATAACAATACACTGAATATCAGAAGAATTCGGAAAAATATTAATACAAATTCATGGATTTATAGTTTCCAATGAAAGCCAGACAGGGCAGTGGCTGGACGTGCTTCTTTTGCACACAAAGCGCTGGCTGTTTCACGTAAATCGCTATGACTATTGCCGTTTGGAGTATGCGGTACCTGAATGTTTTTAGCGATTTATTTGGTACCCAGTGGATGATAGAGAAGGATTCATCAATGCTGGCTTTTTTTATCGTAGCTTGATTCCACACTGTATTTTCGGTACAAGTATGGAATTTTTAGCATGTGATATCGGTATTCCAAATTTTGGAGGCCGATCATTGATATCACGTGTGCGCCGGCAAGGGATCGAACCCCGGACTATGTGCATGGTCGGCAAGCATCCTAACCACTGTGCCACCGACGCACAGTAGCCGGTTAGGACCAGGTAGTCTAATAGGCATTTTTAATCAGTTCAAATGGATAGTACCGACAGCTCACACACACACAATATACGTGGTTCATAGCCTTTTGCATGAAAAAGTGTCCTATATAGCTGAGTTCAAAAAACAGCCTAAACTATTCAGAGGTACTAACCAAACTTAGAGGATTGGAATAGAATGCATAATTTTCAACCGATGATAATTGAAGACTTGCAGTGTTAACCTACACCTTCACATTCTAATCTAAGTGGTATTCTATACCTAAATCTTCTGAATTCACAGTGCTATAGACTGAATTGTTTGAACATAAAATCTCGTAATACATAGAAAAAACACATTCTGAAGTGAAATCACCTGGATCTCACTGACCTCACGCATGACTAATGTGTTTGGCTTTCTTCTAACATGGCATCAATGTACATTATGAAACATGTCAAGTTTGCTTATCTAAGCACGAGTTAAATAAATTGTGTGAACTGTGATGATAAATGGTGAAATGACGCAAATACATACTTGAACTACAGTGATCGACCTTTCCAACCAATCCCCTCTGCTTAGTGTGTCGGTGGTTCAGTGGCGGAATGCTCGTGATCACGGGTTCGATTCCCAGCTGATGCACTTCTAAACCTCACTTGGCCGGTAGTGATCCCAGTATAGAGAAAAGCTTGGGCATGCGATTAACAACCTTATCCCATTGAGAAAAAAACACACTACAACTACTGAAATTCCAAAGTTCATGCTTGAAGTCCTACGTTCCAGTTGAAAAGCAAACGAATGAAAAAAAAACAGCATTCGACGGTCAAACAACTGAGGTACAAACTCATCGTCTAAGAGCGAGAACGCCAGGTTAATCTTAACTACTACTATGGAATTTAAGATCGACATTTCGGAAATGTGAATTGAAGGCAATCACCGCTTAAGAATGGTGGATAAATGCTTCTTTATGAACAGAAGTCAATTACAACACCAGAAAAAACCAAGATGCACCGTACAGTTTCTTCATCTTACCAGAGGCCCATGCAGCAGTCTGCACCCATAAATCTATGTCAGAATAAGATCACCATTGTAAAGTCATCAGGCGAGCACGTGACTATTTAGATACACGGTCGTAATCTTATGCTTCATGGTTCTGAAATCCCGCTCATTTATAATGCAACAAAATCACCCTAATTTGATTTCCCTGGTGAATAGATGTCACGGCGAAGTTAAACTTTCGACACCACTAACTACCAGTCAGTGAATTATCCAATGAGATTCACGAACGATGTCGAATTATCCAATGAGGTTCACGAACGCAGTTCAATGTTGTATAGCGCTTGATTCATTTCTAATGCGTGACCTTACAAGGCTATTGTTGCATTCCGAGGAGGTTAGTGTTTTCCAGTATTTCCTGGATTTGAGTTGCTCCGGAAAGAGCGAATTTGTTTGTGTGGTGGTATCATGACTTTAAAAAGCTATACCAAATCAACTGATGGGTTTGTTCATCGTTGTGCTATATGTTTGAAGCCTACTACGTCACTACGTCTGTCTTGGTGGATCTTACTTGTCACAGCCTTACATCAGAGACGTTAGCAATAATGAATATATATCTTGGAGTAGAGTCAGAGATAAGGATCTAATTGAAACGAAAATATTTCTTAGCCCAATCCTTGTGCTTTCTAAAGTGTCTAAATGTGGACTTTTTATACGGATGAAAGTGTCACAGCTGAAATCAGAAAGTCGAGATAGATATTCATTACCCTGATATCAGTGGGGGGATATGTACTACACTCAGCATAAAGAACAAGGCTCAGATTACCAACACTAATGTCAAGTCAATTTGTCAGTATGGTTAAAAGACACGGTGTGCCACAAAAATCAATGCCAACAGACTTTTTTTCCCCTTCACGTTCCCAGTGGAACATAGGGCTCCAAGCTAATGGCTTGAAGTTTCTGTAGCAGTGTTTAATTTTTACAGGATGGGGTTGCTAGCCTAATGTCCCACCCTTTTTCCTCTTTACCAAGATTACTTCTGGCTTAGTGAGGTAAAGGAGTGCGTCTGTGGCCGGGGATCGAACCCCGGACCATGTGCATGGTCGGCGAGCGTCCTAACCGCTATGCCACCGACGCACCATGCCAACACACTACTGCAGACTATTATCAACAGCTGCCTTCTATCCATAATGAAAATTAGATAAGGCAACAAACAACTCTGGCGAAGAAACAATCAAGAACCTATTGCCCAACAAATATGCAGAAGAAAATGGGAGATGGACTGAACACACACCAGGTCCTCGAGTGGAAACCAGATGACAGACGACAAGTTGGGCTTGGTCCCAGGGTGACATGGAGGTGATTGTGTGAGGAAACCTTATTGGTAACTGTGCAGCCAGCTAGAAAGACTGCAGAGAACAGAGTGGAATGAAGATGTTCTGTTGCAGGCTTAATTTCCCCTCAGAATCCATAGGAATAATAATAATAATAGTAATATTTAATATCAGAAAAGAAATCACAAACCATGACTCTGAAAAAATACAAACAATATACGCACAATTCATTCAAATGAATACACATACCTAGCTATGAGCATTATTCCACTGGAATCTTTGTCCAATCGATGAACCAGTGATAATTCTCCAGGCTGTTGTTGTTGTTCAGCATCACCGTGACCTTTATCCTTTCTGTTTTTCCTTACAATTAATTCAACACGCGGTAACAGATCAATGATATTGTGTTTACAATTGTTTCCAGCTGACAAAAGAAATGGTATTAATTCAGAGATCACTAGTGGAATAGCATTTATCTTACCAATGATGATTACATAGAAAATATTTTTTTTTTAGTTTGGCCAAGGATAGACATCAGTTAGAGAACCATTTAACACCAACAGAGAGTACTGGACAGCTGCTGTTTCATCCTAGTTTGGAAATCATCGGCAGTACACACCCACTGCTGGGGTTTAAACCCATGACCTTCCGGTTACAAAGAAAGCTTGTATACCATTCAGCCACTGGGACCTGAATCAATGACCCATGAATTCTAACTTCTACTCATTCGTGATGCTCGCTAGTGATGGAGTTTCCTGGACTTCTAGTGAGAAGTTGAACACAGTGAGGTCCATCCAGTCGGGAGTGAGGATGGATTTCCCGCCAATGACATTGGTTGGTGGCCATGCTAAATCGGAAATTGGTATAAGTTAGACTCCATGGGCCATTGATTCAGGTGCCAGTGGTTGAATGGCATACGAGCTTGCCTTGTAACCAGAAGGTCTTGGGTTAGAACCCCAGTGGGTGTGTACTGCAGATGATTCCCAAACTAGGATGAAACAGCAGCTGTCCAGTACTCTCTGCTGGTGTTAAATGGTTCTCTAACTGATATCAATCCGCAGCCGAACTCGAAAAAACCAAATCTAATCCTTACAAATCAACTCTTGAAAATAGTAAATACATGGTAATTCCAAAGGCGAATGATAAAGATGATTGACTACATTTGGGATAATAGTATTTCCGAGAAAGTTATAATATATACAGTACACTTTTAGATGATATCATTACCTTTCTTGAAATATTTTGCTCCTTCAAATGTCAGGGCGGCATTATGCTCCTGTCCATCCCAAGCAAAGTAGTCAGCTGCATCATCGTGCAGAGAATCGAAAACGCCCTGGATGAAAAACCCCGACTGGGACAGGCTGGATTCAGGAGAAACAAGTCATGCATCCTTCAAATGGCAACGCTATGTATCAGCATTGAACAAAGCTTGGAATGGCAGTCACCTCTCTATCTCAACTTCATCGACTTTGAAAAGGCCTTCGGTAGTTCAGCGTCTATCGAGAGGTGATTTGGTAACTACTACTTCGCTACTACGGGGTGCTGCTAACAATTATACAGCTCACTCAACAGTTGTACGATAATGCAGCATGCCAAGTAATCCGCAACCGGAAACTCATGGAATCCTTCGAAGTGAAAACGACAGCATGACAAGGCTGCCTACTATCTCCAATGATTTTCCTGATTACAGTGGACTGGATAATGCAACAGACAGCGGGCAACGAGGAGACAGTCATAAAATGGACCCACACAAAAGACTTGCAGGATCTGGATTTCGCTGATGACATATATCTGATTTCCCACAAACTAGAAGATATGTAAGTGAAAAGCAATAAGATGGCAGAAGAAGCATCAAAGATAGGACATCAGGTGAACGTAGAGAAAACAGGGGTGATAACCATTCCTGGTCAACAGCAACATCACCAGGCAACGGTCAGCATGAATGGGAGGAGTCTGAAAGAAGCAACCTCCTTTGCCTATTTGATAAGCGTCGTTTCAACTACAGGCGGAACTGATGAGGATATCAAAGCGACGATGGGGAAAGCATGGTGCGCTTTATTTACTCTCAAGTCTGTGTGGAGGTCAACAGCACTGAGTATCAAAAACAAGATCAGGATTTTCAACTTCAACGTGAAGTCAGTGCCACTTACTATACGGATCAGAGACTTGGCGCGTCATAAAGAGCATCTCAAACAAGCTACAGACCTTCACTAACAGCTGTCTTCGCTCAATACTCAAGATCAGATGGCCAGCCAGAAAAGATCAGCAACAGGGATCTCTGGGAACGAACCAACCAGGAACCAATCGTGCAACACATATGCAGGAAGAAATGGGGGGGATCGGCCATACTCTGAGAAAACTATCAAGTGACATCATAAGACAGGCCCTAGAGTGGAACCCAAACGGGAAGCGGCAAGTTGATTGTCCAAGGATAACATGGAGGACGTCATGTGAGGAGGAGATGAAAGCATGTGGGCAGACGTGGAGCTAGGTGAAAACATTGGCAGAGAACCGAATGCAATGGTGACGTGCAGCTAAAGCCCTATGTTCCTCAAGGAACTAAAGGAAACAGTAATAATAATAATAAATGCCACGCAGTCAATATTAAAAAGAACCGTTTGTAGCATGTTTTAAAGCTGATTATAGCAGAGCAGTTTTAGAGACTTCATCAGCCTTCAAACATTCATTCAAACATAAGTCGTCATCTAAATAGTCACATTTCCCAATTGTACATCGCATAAGTAAAACGTAACGAAAGGGAATACAAGATATAGAAAAAATAGACATTAGATGTTATAATAAGAGAAAAGCCTTTAAGAAATGTGGCGTTGAAAACAAGAGGAAGATAAGGCGTGAATTCAACTGGATTATTGAGATTGACTCCAATTCACATCACCTAATCCCTCAACAATGAGAGCTTTCAATTGTCGTGTGAACATTAACCGTGAGTTTAAGCTTAACGGGATTATACTTTTTATATAGTTTGAAGGAAATTAAGAATCCTGGTAACCCAGATGGGTAGTGTGGACATCCTTGACAAACGCAACTAGACATACACACATCACAAAATAGGTATCTTCAAACTGATTAGAAGCAAATTAATATGATATATGGTGGCCAGTGTAAATTAATGACTAACAAATTACTCTGTGAAACTACTTGGTATGAACCTCAAAAAGAAATGCCTTTAAGCTTATAGGAAAACTGCTTATGAGTAGAACCTAATTGTAAAGCTTTCGTTGCCCTCCTAGACAACATCTTCAGCGCGGTACTCAAATGAATCAGTGATTAATAAACTTATTACTTATCATAGACCAAATTTACCAACTAATAAAAACCTGACCGATAGAGTTCAGTCTGGACCAAAGAAAGAAAGGACTAGACACATCACACCAGTGACTGGCTAGTGTCCAATCAAAGTATCCACCACAGTCCTACAGGAGGTCAATAGCGAGTCCGAATAGCTCAGTGCTAACGTCTCTGACTGCAGTACTCACTGAGTGACGCGGGTTCGAATCTCAGAAGGGACATGAGTTCCCTCAAGTTTCCTGATACGCCTTGTTGACTGGTGAGTGCCAACTAGCACGAAACCTAGGTCCCGTCAAGGCTTCCTGTGGCCTACTGCCTCCAACCAACTAATATAATAAAAAATATATCACATAACAAGTGATTCCAAATTCCAAACCAATACAAAAATTAACAATAGAGACATAAATTAGTAAGCAATCAAGACAATCGTTCTCAGAAGATACAGTTATATCATTCGTGCAGAATTTAAATGAGTTTATTTTATCCTAAAACCTACACTGAAGATGTTGTCTAGAAGGACAAAGAAAGGTTCGCAGTTAAATCAACTAAGTCAGAAAACACAACTAAATCAAAACTTAATTACTTCAATACTCCTTACTATTTGTGCTACGGTAAATTGACTGTAAAACAGAAGTATGCATAGGTAAATTTGGAATGTTAGAAAACCCTCCGACAGTAACACTGCACCACTAAACTGACTTTTGATTACTTTTGATTATCATAGTAAAACATCTGCTCTTCAACTTTCAGTTGTTACAAGCTCATGAAGACATTCCAGAAGAATTTGTTTTTCTTAAACCAGCAACAAAAGTGATTTAATGGCAATTTTCTACACACCCTTTCAGGAGGTTGTGCTGTGAAAATGTTTCAGTCAACTTAATTTAATGCGATTATCATTTATATTAGTCAATAACTTCCTGTGATGATTATAATTATAACACTAGTGTAACTCCAAAACGTTTACCCTCTGCTCTGACAAAAGCTTGCATAACTATGCATACTTAACATATATTACAAAGTCTGATTAAATAAATATGAAAATGCATAATTGTACTTACGTTGAGATGCTATTCCATATGGTTTATTCATAATTATTACATTCTCTGTTAACATGCAAACGAGATAAGAATAAAACATATTAGGGTATGGAGGTGCAAATGCATTACATCAAAAAATATATGGAAATAATAAAAGAGTAGCCTGTTTTTCTACACTAATTTGCATTCCCCGCTGATCGATCATAATGTTATGTCGGCTCCTAGTACAGACGTTTCGATGACATCAAGGCATTAAAGTGAAGTTGTTTTGGTTGGGGGTGGTAACTCACACACTGAAATCCAGGAGACACATTTCGTCCTATATTTAAGACTCATCAACTGCGTGTAAGTGCATTCTCAGTGAAAGATGGTAACACTTACGACCTAAACTCAAATAAAAACTGATACCTGTTGAACAACCGGTGGCTTTCGTGACCCGCATGACCTAGTAGGTTGAAACGACGAGTGCACGGTTCAAGACCTAGTGGGAACACCATCACTCACTGGGAGATGCATCTGGATCCGACTAACCACTCCTAAATAGTAGAATGGAATGCATATCTTGGATTCCACTGCTACCCACCACCAACGAGAATGAAAGAGTGCTGTTTTTAAGAACCGATGGTATAAGTTGATTCACGTGATCTACACAAAGCTGTTACATGGAATATGCTGTTATTTGTACTATTCTGTGCGAAAGCCTCTGAAGGTAAAAGTTTTCATAAAAATGAGGAATGTAACCAATCTACATTCCAGGAAATACTGGACAGCTGCTGTTTCATCCTAGTTTTGGAATCATCGACAGTACGCACCCACCACCAGGGTTCGAACCCAGGACCTTCCGGTTACAAGGCAAACCCGTATACCATTCAGCCACTGGGACCCGATTCAATGGCTCTAATTCTAACTTCTACCAATTCGTGATTTAGCGCGACCCCAACCATTAATTAAGACTGTAAACATGTTTGCTTGTTTGTTTGCTTGAAAATCCTTAGAGTATGGTAAATGATACCACGGAATAACAAAGATCACAGATACTGATATTAGTCAGATAACCATTGGAAACCAGGCGAGTACTGGATATCTGTTTCACCCTAAGTCTGGATTCTTCAGCAACACGCACTCACAATCCTATTGGTGACCGGACCCAGGAGTTTCAGCTTACAACGCGAACTCGTTGACCATTCAACCACTGAGACGGGATCGAATAGCCTATGGATTCTAAATTCTATTAGTTCGCGCTACAGCCAGCCAGTGCGAACAGCAAGTATTCACGTTGTCATATCCGACCTGGCAGACCCTACTGGTCAAGATTCCTCACTAGAACTCCAGCCAACTTTATCCTATAGCCAATCACTAGTGCGCATCAAATTTTCTAATAAAGTCATTCTTACAGATAAAAGGCCAGTATTTACCTTCTGCTTCAGTATAAAAGCATCAAGTAATGACGAAGAACAGTCGTGTGTTGAAGCATAAGTTAAAACGAACCCGAATCTAGTTATTACCTCGGGGTCATGCGTCACGAACAACGCATCATTAAAATTGTTTAGCAAATCTTCAGAAAAAAGATGAACTTTTAACAAACCTCTTATATCAATTATTGACTTGTACAGTACCATTGCAGCTTCTTCTTCAGTTAAGAAGTCGAATTTAAATATATCCTCATCAGGCACACGATATCCATGACTATCCAACTTCTCTGGAATACTGGAACCTTGTTTATTATTTGAAGATACATCTAAAGCTAAACAAGAGAAGATAACTACGTATGTATCTCAGTAATTCTTGAAATATGTTAACATCTATTATTGTTACTCAAGTATTGGTTGGTTTACAGGGATCTAATTGGTTTCAGGGTTTCATCATGAGTTGACATAAGTTAGGGAACCATGGGAAAACCTAGGGGTACTGAGCAGCTGCTTCGCCCTAGTTTTGGACACTTCAACAGTAGGCGCCCACCGGAGTTCGAATCCAGGACCTTCTGGTCACAAGGTGAGCTCGTAAACCATTAAGCCACTGGGATCCGATTTATAATTTTATTGCTTTGTTTATTCACCAAGTGTGCCTGACTATGTATATAGTATCATTACCATCGGATAAAACGAATCATATATAATATCAGGAAGACCTTCGACAGCATCGACCGTTAATTAATCTGGAGATTTTTTTCAACACTACGGAGTGCTCCAAACTTCTATCAACCCCATTTGAAAGCTAAATGACGATGATCCCACATGGGAAGTGATTCACAATGGAAAGCTCAATGAAGCATTTGAAGACTATCTAGTATCAATGATGATATTTCTGACTGTGGTGGGCTGGGACATGCAACAAACCATGGGTAGAGAAAAGACGGGCCGATGTTGAACCAATAGGGAGATACTAGAAGATCTGGAGGGAGCGGCTGATTTATGTCTACTGTCACACAAACTCAAGCTGTAATAAAAAAAAATAAAGTTCTACAAACGGAAACCAAGAAGTTGACAGAACAGGCAGTAAAGACAGGGATGCAAGTGTACAGAGAGAAGACAGAGGTAATGAAGAAACCTTATTAACAACGCCAAGTAACATCAACGGGAGAAATCTGAAGGGAGTCACTTCTGACACTAACCTAGCAAACACCGTTTCAACTAGACAGTATGGATGAGGATGTCAAAGACAGCGTCGGAAAGGCGAGATAGAGCTTCATTAATCTGAAATCAGTGTGGTAATCTATTTCACTCAGGATAAGGAACAATATTTGGATTTTCAACACTGACGTCAAGTTAGCTCTTCTATGTGTTTCAGAGACTCTTGGTGTTCGCGTTAAGAAGAGCACTTCCAACAGGCTACAAAAGACTTTTATTAACAGCTGTTTAGCTCTGTACTAAGGGTCAGATAACCGGAAAGGATAAACAACAAAGAACTCTGATAACGACTCAACCAAGTACCTATGGCCCAATATATGCGCAGAAGAAAACGATACACTGGATATATATATATATATATATATATATATATATATATGCTGTAGAGACTTTTGAGTAACATCATGAACTACGTCTCAAAGTGAAACCCAAATAAGATAAGATGATTTTGACTTGCGTCAGCGGTGATATGAAGGAGATCATGTGTGGACTAAATGGAAGCTTGTGGGGAGTAATGGAGCTAGCTAGCTAGAAAGACTGCAGGGTATAGAGTAAAATGGAGATGTGCCATTGAAGCCTTATATTCCACTCTAAACCCGAAGGAATAATAATAATATAAGCAAGGAGTCCATTACACCGTCACAGGATGAACTCAATACATCAGTTTATTAATCTTAAGTACAAATAAGTTACACCATTTGTGAAAAAGAAAATTTCCATTTTTCATTTAACTTCTATAGCACTCCTATTTACAGAACAATATATTATCAGAATATCTCAAGCACACATGATATGAATTACTGAGCCAATATAATCGCATCAAAAAAGAAACAATGCGAAACGGATAATACTTACTAGTACCAGTATATAAATTCAGCTTAGTTCTCTGGCGTACAATTCTGACAGTATCTGCACCATATTCAACGGGATCACTTTCGTAATTATCATCGTCATTATCGTTTTCTTCAGAATATTCTAATTCGTCATCTTGTGTTAAGGAAGAACTGGAATCATGTACAGGTTTCTCAAGATGTATGTTCTGTTTCTTTCGATTAGAGCTATTCTTTGAAACATTAACAATAGGAGAGACACGATGAGGATGAGATTTTCTTTCAGGTCTGATGACTGATGATTTTGACATTGACAATGAATCAGTTATTGGCATAGAATTTCCTATCATACTTGACTTAGAGCTTGACGGAGCTTTGTAAAGTTAATAATAATAATAATAATAGTTTAAGAAAATACGATAAGATAATAGTACAACAACTGTAACAATAAAATAACATTCTACTTCTTATAAATTTCACAGATGATGAGTTATTTTTCAGTGTGTGTGTACATAGTCAAAAAATATGTACTGATTGACGGTGACAGACATTCAGCCGCACATCTAACCAAAACGTGTGTTTTCAACTTACTACTTCATCGAATCATAATATCAACAAATACAACAAAACATAGAAGTTGGATACTTAATTTAATAATAACCATGTATTAAAAGACAGGAGTAAAACAAAACTGCCTACAATCAACGACGATATTTCTGGTTATGATGGATTGAATGGATCGTGGAACAGACCCTGGAGAGTGACAAGATAGACATACACTGGATTGATGAAATCACTCTAGAAGATCTGGACTTTGAGGATGATTTATGTCTAGTGTCATACAAACTTGACGATCTACAGGCAAAAACCAAAAAGTTGGTAGAAGAGGCAACGAGGACACAACTTTAAATGAACGTAGAGAAGATAGAAGTGGTGAAGATACCTAACCAACAAGAAGAAGAAGCACCAATCACCATTGACAGCGGAAATCTAATGGAAGTCGTTTCTCCTACTTATCTGTCTTCTTCTTTAGTTCGGCTATCTCCTACGGGAGGATGAACCGGCTTCATGAACATCTCGAATGTTTGTAAGAGAGTTGATGAAGTTTCATGGGAATTGGGTACGAGTGATGTCCCCAGCATCGCTCGGCCTTTTGTTTGAGAGTGCAGCTCTAGCCTTTACACAGCCAAGTGTGACCTACAAGGCAGTAGGAGTGGAGTAGGGAGTCCACTATCCATTGGCAGCCGGTGACCGGTTCATACGCCTTTTTGAATGGGGCCAGACATCCAATAAGCTCTTTGTCCATACGTCTGCCGGTGAACTCCGGTGAGCTTCATACGCCAGTCGTTGGAGGTTTGGAATCAGGGTTTAGCCATCTCCCCTAGACTGTCATCCAATGGACAGTCAACCCGGTGAAGAGCGCCGGGCATCCGCTTTTGCCCTCTCACTTCGGTGAAAAACACCTCCGCCACGTGAAGGCAGTGAGTAGGACTTCCTCAGGAGAGGCTATGTAAGACGCACGGTCATATGGGAGCATTTCAAGAGGTGTACGGAGGGGTGGCTAGCCCGCAGCGCAAGACACCCACCCCCGACCATCCTGAGGCTTTGGAGGTATTGTTTCAAGTACAGTTGGCAAAGGTGAGGATGGGAACGGCACAATCGGTAGGGAAAACAAAACAAACCTTCATTATTCTGAAATACGTGTGAAAATCGATTGTATTCAGCATAAAAGACATTTGGATTTTCAACAGTGATGCCCAATCAATACTTCTACATGGTTTAAACTTGTTACGTCACGAAAACCACTTCCAACAGACTGTCGCAGACTTTCAACAACACTTACTCCCAGTCCGTACATAAGATGAGGCGACTAGAAAGGACAAACAACAGAGAACGCTGGCAATGAACCAAGCAAAAAGTTATTGCTCAATAAATATCCAGAAGGAAATGGATTGGCCGTACGCTGAGGACACCATTGATTAACATCATATGCCAGGGCTTTCTAGTGGAACCTGGATAGAAAGCAACAAGTTTAGCGTCCGCAGGCATGGAGAAGATTGTGTGAAGAGATAAGAGACTTGGGGCAATCTTGTGACCAATTCGAAGTGAACGCACAGGACAGAGTGAAACAGCAATGTGTTATTGAAGCTCTATGCTCCAAATGGAACCCATGGGATAAATAATAGTGAAATAATTGCTTTTTCCACTAATGAGCACTAATCCACAATAGCCTTCATATGTAAAGCACTAACAACTTTTCACCCGTACTATCTTATTTTTTGCTAGTCAGGGAATAACAGTCTACGCATGTCGTGTAATAATTAGGGATGAAGTGGTTTGTCATATTTTTCGCACAGAAGTTGAGATTTTATCACTGAACATATGATTGGGGTTGACGACACTTTACAAACAAACAAAAATAATGATGCAAAAAAAACATTGTGTATACAGGTTGAAAAAATTAAGGCATGAAATAATTAAGTTGATTAGATCTAACAGCTAGCCTCCTTCTTTACTCTTAAACCAGGTGATGATGTATGCTAGTCTCACAGCATTATCAAACATAAAACATATGACGGAAATGTATACAGAGGCTTTCGCCCAATGGTTTTCCAGATATTTTTTCGTGAAAACGACCCCGTTACCACTAACGATATCCATTCATGTTTTCTTCAATAACAACAGAGCTGTGACTCACCAGCAAACATAATTGACTTTTAATCGATAGGCTACAGTTTACAACCCTGCTACAACGATTTAGCAAATGAGATAGTGATGCTCTACCTCAATTGTGTTCATAGTATGATTCAATCTATTACCTTGACTTTAGTATGATATCATCAAGAGACACTTTCTATATCTATACTCGGGAATAAGAACATAACTAGAAAACATATATCCCGATAAATACAGTAAGACTGATTATCCAAGTTACTCGACTATTCAGTATCACTATGTAGGCAAACTGAGGAGAATACTTCACTGCATGATAAAAAGTATTGCTAATGTGTGCCACTTCAGACTAATACAACTTTCACTGACCTCTTAAAAATTTATTTATCTGAAAAGTACATACTGTGTGTAACACTCTGCTTCTTACACTCTGAGAACTCTTTTTCCAACCAGCCAGAAATTCCCTCATTAGATTCCATATCAAACACTGTAAACAAGATATCCGCATATCCACCATCAGAACATTATAACATGGTGTTCGCTTTCTAAAACTTCAGAATTTTATTGGTCGATGTTAATGCGTCGCCTATGCGACCAAATATTTCTGGGTTGTTGTAAAAGATGACAATAAGGGTGACGCATGACACTCTCGAAACTCGCCTAGTTTACTAACTCTCCAGTTTTCTAGCCTGTCCCAAGCCCGAAAAAAGAGGGAGGGGTTGGGCGTGGGGCAAGCGACCCTACACCACAAAACCAATCAAAATGCTACAGAAACTTCGACGCACAAGAAATATATTTAAGATACAAAAGAAAGAAACTTATTCTTCGCTGGAATCGGAGAGGCATATTGACCAGCGGGCTGGTGAAAGCCAGCCTTCGGGAAGCAAGTCAGCAGATGAGAGCAAAAATAAGAGTAGAAATATCGAATATCCATGCAACATAAGAAGCTAGGAAGGTTGCCCAGGTAGCCAAAAATGAGAAAATGAGGCATGGAAGTGCTGTGAATCTGCGAAAGCAGATGGAATGGATGTGGAGTGTCAAAAGTGCCAACTGGTGAGTCAATAATCTACTCCAGTCACCAACCCAGACGACAATAACGGGCACACTGAGGCACTGAGTGGCTATCATGATGTCACCAGTAGCAGCCAAAGCCTTAATTTAGTGGGAACCAATCTCCTTATGAAGGATCATGACAGCAATATTCAACTACAAAGGAAGGAAGATTACAGTCATCCAATGCACTTGTAAACAACTCACAGCAAGAGAAGGTGATGCTTTATAGACAACTGCAAACAGGAATGGGCAATATCTTAGTTGACTACATCAAAATCCTGATAAGCGATATGAATGCCAAACTTGGAGCAGATGATACAGGGAAAGAACTCATCATGAGTCGACAGGCTCTCGACAAAAAGGATGATAAAAAGTCGAGAAGGGGAGCAGATGTGGTTTCAGTTCATCACCTAATCCAGAGAACCTTCAAGGTGAAGTTGAAATCCTTCGGAACATCTGGAGACAGACCACTTTTACTCAGGTTCAACATTCAAAAACTTAAGGACAAAACTACGGATCAGATCACAGCAAAGTCGGAGACACTACGTGGCATCACTGAGGAATTCTGTGAGGAAGAACATTGGAACTCTCTAAATGTTGGTGATGCTCAGGGAAACGTGTACAACCATTCTAGGAAGAAAGAAGAGACAAGACACGGAATGGATGACTGGCTCTCAACGGACACCTACCTGCAAGCTAATCGAGGAGAGGACGCTAGTGAAAGAGATGACTCAATAGGGAGATGGACAAGAGAAGGAGAAGCTGAGTTCAATGTACACTGCACTGAATAAAGAGAGGAGTGAAGAAGAGTGCTAGGAGAGACAAAAGACAATTCTTAGACACACTGGCCGGCAACTGGAGCAGAACAGGCCGCAGGCAAGAGGGACATTAGGACACTATATCAGATAACCAAGTCTCTATCTGGGAAGAGATCAACCCAGATGATGAAACCAATAAAATATGTTCAAGGGAACCTGATTACAAAAGAGAAGAGAAAAATGAGACAATAGGCTGATCATTTCAAAGGTCTCTTGAATCGCCCATCATCTGAGACTTGCCCAGAAATACACCACCACCAACAGCACGCACGGAAGCGCCAATGGACACCAACTCTCCAGAGAAAGCCAAAATCCTGAATGTGGGAGGGTAGCAGGGTAAGACGGATTTCCCACGAAGCACTGAACATGGACCCAGATATTGTGACAAATGTGCTCATGCCAATATTGCAAAAGGTTTGGAGGGAATGGTGTATGCAAAAACTGGCGCAGAATCATGCTACTGTCCACGCCAAGTAAAATACCGGGTCGTGTCATTCTGAAGAGAATTAAAAGGTGCACTGGATCCATAACTCCGCCAACCAGATTAAGATGGATTCAGGAAGGGCAAATCATGTGCTGATCAAATTGCAGCTCTACGCATTGTCATCGAAAAAAAGCATAGAATGGCAATCAAACCTCTACCTCGACTTCATCGACTACGAAAAGGACTTCGACAGTGCAGAGTTGACTGAGAAGTATTTTGGAAACTACTTCAACAAAACAGCGTGCAGTACCCAAGTCTTTATCAACCTCATTCAACAGCTGGTTATACGAAAATGCCACGTGCCAGGTGATCCACAACGGAAAACTCGAAAGGTGTTCGAAGTGAATACAGAAGTAAAACAAGGCTGGTTGTCTGCCTATTATCACCGATGATAATATTCTCAATTGCGGTGGACTAGATTATGCTCCAGACTGTTGGGAGCGAGGAGTCAGGAATACACTAGACGACCAATAAGAAGACTCCAGAAGATCTGGATTTCGCGTGTGGGTGATTTATGTTTAATGTCACACAAACTGAAAAACTTGGCAGGCAGGCGAAAAGCAGCCAACTGGCTGAAGAGGTGGGCAGCGAAGACAGGACTCCAAGTGAAGATAGAGAAGACGGAGGTGATGAAGATATCCACCAACCAAAAGCAACAACAACCATCATCAATGGGAGAGATGTGACAGACGTTACTTCCTTCACTTATCTAGCTACGCAGCATCATTTAAACCACAGGCTGGTGGAACGGATGAAGATGTCAAAGCCAGCCAACCAGAATCGGAAAGGAAAGATACGCCTACATCAAGGTGAAACCAGTTTGGAAATCTTCGGTACTCTGCCCCAGCATAAAAAACAAGATTCGGATTTTCAACATAAATATGAATTCAGACACTGCCTCTATACGGGTCAGAAACTTGGCCAGCGTATCACGACAAAATCAATTGCACCTACAGCCACTGAGAAAAGATAATTTTTACGAGTTGATCACGGATTGATATCAGTTAGAGAACCATTGAAAACCAGGGAGTACTGGACAGCTGCTGTTTCATCCTAGTTTTGGAATCATCGACAGTACGCACCCACCACCAGGGTTCGAACCCAGGACCTTCCGGTTACAAGGCAAACCCGTATACCATTCAGCCACTGGGACCCGATTCAATGGCTCTAATTCTAACTTCTACCAATTCGTGATTTAGCGCGACCCCAACCATTGTCGTTGGTGGGACATCCATCAACTAACCCTTACAAACCAATCTATAGAAAATTAATCTGATGCTCGCTAGTGACTTGCTACAGGTTGGAGTTTCCTGAGTTCTAGTGAGAAGTCGTGACCAGTGAGGTCCAATTAGACGTCACGTGTGTGGATGGATGTCCCACCAACGACAATGGTTGGGGTCGCGCTAAATCACGAATTGGTAGAAGTTAGAATTAGAGCCATTGAATCGGGTCCCAGTGGCTGAATGGTATACGGGTTTGCCTTGTAACCGGAAGGTCCTGGGTTCGAACCCTGGTGGTGGGTGCGTACTGTCGATGATTCCAAAACTAGGATGAAACAGCAGCTGTCCAGTACTCCCTGGTTTTCAATGGTTCTCTAACTGATATCAATCCGTGATCAACTCGTAAAAACATAACTAACCCTTACAAACCAATCTATAGGAAAGATAATTTGTTGGCTGGAGGACTTAAATAAAAAGGTGTTGTTTAGTGGGTGGTGACTAGCAGTGGAATTCAGGAGGCGCATTTCATTCAATTTAGTACCTCCATCCCCAGTGAATTATGGTATTCGTACCGGAACTTCACCCCTGGGGCCATCGTTTCAAACTCCAGAGCCTTACCCACTAGGCCATGAAAACGCCTTTTGTTCAATGGGTATTAATTGTTATTTGTTTCTAGGTAACACACCAGTTACCGGGGATTGTAAAGGCATCCAGTTGGCGGGTCATATAAATAGGATGAAACGCGCATCCTGGATGTGTCAGTCATTTATTTACCAAATAGAATGTTAATTTTCAGACAGACAGCGTCCTTACAAGTAGCCGATATGTCAACAAAGATAGAATGTTTTGTTTTAAAATCAGTCAACGGGAAATACGAGATTAATATAAACAAATTAAATAAAAAGAAAATAGAGACGTTATTATGATGACTGGTAAAACATCAATACAAACCGGTCTGTAGGACTCCATCAGCTGAAACAGTACACTGGAATAGATGTACACAAACATAGATTTGATAATAAGTAAAGAAATAAGTGAATGAAAACTAGTGCAAATGTTGAAGAGTACAAAGACAATAAGAAGTGAACAAACCTGAACTCCCTTGAACGATTTCGAAATATGTCACTGAGAGTGTCCAAACATTGAATTTTAATAATTCTAAGAACCCATCTAAGCAATATGGCTTAGACCAATAGGCATACTCTACAAACAAACACCATAGTTTCCCTTTTGATAAAAATATATGATACTTTTCGCTCATTGAAGGAACTAATTTTCTAGGTATAGCACTACACAAATGAACAAAAGAATTCATGTGAAACTATATACCCTGAAATTACATATTACATCATATACCAGTAATACTGATAAAATTGATGGCTGTGACTAAAAGTGCAAAGATGCTGTTCAGTATTCAACATATTACCATATTATAGTACTTAATTAATAGTCAAATTAAACAGTCAAAAATACCACTAAGTTTCAATCATCATCGAAATTTACCGAACACATAAATTTTATAATTAAGCAGTTGTATGAAGGAAATAAAGCGAAACTAGAAAAAAAGAAAAGCCAACAAGCAAGTAAATTACCGAAATACTGTGAATCGACTTCAGATAATTCATCGAAAACATCAAATTTTGATGAATGAATCATTTTCTCACGCGGATTGTCTTTCACGAAGCTATTGTCAGCTTTGTCTTCACACGCCTTATCATTATCTTTACCACCATGATCACCAAAATACTGATCATCAATAAAACCTTAAATTGTTTCAGTTAAACAGGTTAAGAACTGAGGATCAAACCGTACTTATTGATGCAGTTAGCGCTTTACATTTAGCCTTTTGATGTTTCGCTGCTTCGTTCTCCTGATCATTTTCAATGCCAAAGTAATCCTACAAAAACTAAATTTATCAGGTAATTTTCAACCTTTTTTTAACAATGAGATTATGAAAAAGAATTCTGTGTCTGAATCTTGTAATTTATTGACAACACAAAAGTAAGTTTCACAAAATTTATATGTATGCAACACAGCGAAGGACTGAGATAATCCTGTTTTTTAATCAGATACAATTATAGTATGCGCACTTTAAAGTGTTGAAGAACAGTCTGTAAGACTGAAGAATGTAAGCGATAAAGCTAATAATAGTTAAATATGTGATAGTACTGGATGATTCCGTGGTGCATCTGTAAATATCAGTCCAACAAATACGTGATTCTTCCATTTAGGATGACGCAGCATTTTACAACACACTGAATTGTCTAATTCAAATCCAAAGTGTTTCATAGTTTCATCTGTCTCTGTAAGAACTGCTTCACCGTGTGCTCCGATGTACTAAATAAACAATATAAAAGATTAGCAAGTTATTTAATAAAGCTAACCGGTTTCCCAGTGAATGGATCAATGAAGTCAGCCCAGTAACCCAGTTCTTTCAATGAAGCGCATATTTCAATCGCAGAAGTGATAAACTATACAATTTTGTTTAAGAAAATTTCGTTGATAAAAATCCCCCAAAACCTACAGATTGTGCTAATTGTTCGCGTTCATCTGCAGCTTCCTCACTCCACATATTCAACGATTCATTTGTATGATGGCTAAGAATTAAAGCTGTTAAAGGAGTAGTGGAAAGTTTTCTTGATGGAAAGACATTCGCCAGATCTGCAATTCATGTCGAATTAATAAGGTGAAATAAACTAACCTCGCTGAACTAGAGTTGGACAGGTGTGTATACTGCATTCAAGCTGGTCAGATATCAACGGAATTATTGAAGGCTGAGAATCATTGAACTGATTAAAAAAATATAAACAAAAATATTTTTAAACAAGGAAACTACAAACCTTAACAAGGTGAAAAAAGAAACGTAAAACGGAACAAAATTCTTAGTGAGATAACTGTGTTAAGCCTTCTATCAGTCAGCCGTTCCAGCTTCATGAAACACATTTCACAGATAGATTAGCAATACATGTTTTAATAGTACTAAACTGACTCAGATGAACAAATCAGACTGACTGTGAGCAATACAGTGAAGAGTTCTAAAGATACTCAACTACATACAGTGCTTTGCAGACTTAAAACGCACTGAGGATACAGTGGACCAGTAACATTTCCTTGAATGACCAAACTTCTTTCAATCTACTTATTTAGTTGATACATTTTTAAAGTGATTTTTGACCAACAATACCACCTTCATTAATTTGGGTGACCACATTGTAATCCCAGAGATTAGAGGTGAACCGATTTATTAATGTGCACCTAAGGCGTCTCGGTTACAAAAATGAAACATTTTAAAATTTGGTATTATCATCATGAGGACGATATACACATTAGCCTCGGAGTTTGGTGTAAAAGTAGAGATATGACTTGGTGATTTAAACAATTAAAGTACACTGATCAAAAACCTAAACGTGCTGCTGGAATATGTAAAGTTACAAAATATAAGTAAATGCTGATACGATTACGCGAGGACTATGAGACAAACTCATTATGTTAAAGGTGCTATATATATATATATATATATATATATATATATATATATATATATAGCACCTGTCGAATGTTAGACGACACACGGCCAGCATACACCGATAACTAATGCAAGACTAGATAATACGTAAAGAAAGAAAAATTGCATGACATGTATTACTGATCGATAACACAAGCCGGAATCTGCATGCATCAAGCAGTAATGGACTTTAACCTGTCAAGTTTGATTATATTCAAGACCATGTATCCAGGTAGGACGCAAGTAGAGTGAACTCAGTCAATTTAGGTAGGCCACTGATGATCTTGGCCTCAAAAGCGTCATGAGTAATATTATCAGTTCATGGTACTTCGCCTTGTTTTAGATCACTGACAGTTTTTGCAACCCCGGCTACAGTTGAAAAACTGATGCATACATTCACTCCAAGCTATGGTTTGATAGTGAGCAATTGTAATGCAGATAAAGGTCGGCTGAACTGTGCTCCAAATTCTTACCAAACGGCAATTGACTTCGGAAGTTATCGAAGTTCTACTTTATCTCCAGAGATAATTTCGTTTCCTATAGCATTTTAAGAACCGGTCTCCCCAATCAATATAAATAATTACGGGATTATACCTATTTCTGGTCCCATTTATGTTTTATTTACTCACGTGACTACTTTCTGTCAACGTATACACAACTGAACCGTTTCTTATTTGTTCTGTCTGGTTTTCCATCCCAGATACATGAACTACCCTGAGACTATCTATTCGGTACAACCAATCAGAGTACGAAGCAGTAAAACGATTGAGACTTTTCATTCTTCAGTCCTATATGTTATCCCTGCAGATGTAATTAGATCTGGTTATAAAATTGGTTCATCCACTAGACAAATAAGCTACGAAAATGATTTCTACATGAAAACCTCGCCAGTATGATGAAAATCGAAGTGTACATAAACCATAACATTAATAATCAATCTTTTAAACAATACGCTTCGAAAGACACGCCTGAAGTTCTCCCCAAAGTAATATGACTATAAATCTGTATGACATTCGAAAGAGGCCGAAGAGCTTTATTTGTTGCATTTAATACTGAACAAAATTTATAGCCCAACTTAAATGGTTGTCAGCTAAATGTGACAGCAACAGTTGCCATACAATACAAGTAAATTTCACAGTAGTCAGTTATGGGTTGTTAGAAATTTTTACGTATTAGGGAATCCCAGGTAGCATTTTTTGAGCGCAATGCAGAACATGGGACAAGACCCTTAAGCCTGTCCCGAAGATTTTGCAATGCGCCTAAAGTCAATGCTAGCTGGTACGTTCTAGCATAAAATTAAGATGTTCTGCATCCTTCGAAATACGGTAAAAATTAATGCAGATACTTACTTCCATAGCATTGTGGACATCCAAAAGAACCGCCGCATATTTTTCCTCCTTCAGAGGAGGCAATGTATGCACCGCGGGTGTGTATTTCCTTTCAGGTAACTTTTCATCCTTTGGAACTGGAAGTCCAACGAACCCAGGTAAAGGATACTTAGGATTGATGGAGTCTATGGGTCCTAGTTTAGTATTGGGCCATTTCTGAGAAGTTCCAGATCTAGATCTAGAAACAACGACTAGAGATCCATTAATTTGACTTTCGCATACCAACACTGATCGCTTTTCCTTTTTCCAAATCAGAGTACGCATTGAAAGAGGAGCGGAATTTTCGCAATAAAACTGAAAAACCTGCGAAACCTTTGTTTGTTACTCTTCGCGACATCATCTCACTGAAAAACTATTGTGAAGGACGCAATTCCAACTTCCCGCCCGTGAGATAAACTGCAGGCGATTCGTACGTTTGACATATACAAGTGCTGCACCTTCAGATATTCAATTGGAAAGGCTAGCAAACTGTGTTAGAATTCTTAGAGTAAGTATCTCCTCTAGCCTGATTCTTTTTTAAACGCGGAAAGTGCGGGAGCAGATATCAATTCTTCTAGAAGTATCCAGTATCCACTATCGTTTTTACGAGCTAGTATAAACCAATTTGATTTCTTTCCGCTCACCTGTTGATTGTGAGGTATGGGTTCCTGATCCTCGGTGTACTTCTGCGTAGCTCGTCCCGCCACTCCAATGTCGTAGCTATGGTTAACTCCAAAAGTAGTCCTGCGATTATTTATATGTTGTTTGTAGCTTAAGGTGTGTTATGACTGTTACTACTGTGAATGGAGTTGACCCTTTCAACAGTTAGCCTTCCGGTATCTTCGTAAAAAATAAAGAGATATAAATAATAATAGATTTAATTAGTGAAGTTATTCAGAGTAACAAAAAAGGGAGTAAAGAAGACGTAACAACAGACAGCTGATTAAATTTGAAGTTGATATATGTATATATACACATATATATTATATTATTATTTTCTTTAATTCCTAGAGGAATATACGGCTTCAGCCGCGCGTCTCCATTGCGTCCGGTTCTCCTAGAGTTTCTCCCCGCTCTAAGTCTGCCCACATGTTTTCATCTCCTCTAAACATGACCTCAAAGTCACCCTTGCACTGACGACCAACTCGCCGCTTCCCTTTCGGGTTCCACTCGATGGCCTGTCTAGCGATGTCACTTTATGGTTTTCTCAGAGTATCGCCAGTCCACCTCCATTATCTCCTGCTTATCTGTTTCACAATCGGTTCCTGGTTAGTTCGCTCCCAGAGATCTCTGTTGCTGATCTTTTCTGGTTGGCCATCTGATCTTGAGTATTGAGCGAAGACAACTGTTAATGAAGGTCTGTAGTCTGTTGGAGATGCTCTTTATGACGCGCCAAGTTTCTGATCTGTATAGTAGCACTGACTTCACACTGAAGTTGAAAATTCGGATGCTATTTTTGATGCTAAGTGCTGTTGACTTCCACACAGACTTGAGAGTAAATAAAGCTCGCCATGCTTTCATCATCAGTTCCGCCTGTAGTTTTAACGACGCTTATCAAGTAGACAAAGGAGGTTGTTTCTTTCAGGCTCTTCCCATTTATGCAGATTGTTGCCTGGTGATATTGCTGTTGACCAGGAATCTTCATCACCTCTGTTTTCTCTATGATATATATATATATATATATATATATATTGGTGATAATAACAAGTTTAGTAATAGTTGTCGGGAAAGTAAGACGGGAGAGGATGTAGAGAAGTAAACCGGCGAACTTATTTGTCTACCCCCTAGTGGTGTATGGGATTTTATGGGGATAGGCCGTTTGGACGCAGTCCTTGTGCCGCTGCATGATTGTTCAGCCTTCACTTAAAGGCGTCCAGAGACGGTGTCATAACTATACCTGCCGATGGGGAAGTTGGAGCGCACTTGTGTCTCTGCCCTCTGGTGAGCTATCCTTCTGGGATTTCTATGAGGAAGCCTATACTTACTCAATGGAATAACACCACTGTTTGGGTGACTCTGGTCATTTGTTATCGTGTATGCAGCGATCGAATCCCCCTTGAGCTAAGGGTGGCTAGGTGTGAAGGGAAATGATTTACTTGGCCTTTCATCACACGGTTTATTTCGGAGACCAGCCATTCGTTTTGCGGACCATCTTCGCACTCTTTCGAAGAGGTCTGCGTCTTTCCTAAGAAGTGCGGGCGCAATGATGCTGTGCACTTCAAGGTGTGTTCTGATATGTGTTTTGTACAACCTTAGAAAGAGCTCAGGAGTGGGTGCACCTGACTGTCTATGTGTGAATTGTATGACCGCATATGTCCTCTCTACATCCTCCATGTAATTTACGCTTGTGCCTATTTTCCGTTAGAACTGGACCTAAGTCGCGCTCCAACGTTGTGCAGGACAAGCATCATTGCACAGGGTGTAACCTGCATTCTGCAGTCTATAAGTGCTTAAGTTCACTACTTTGCACTTCTTCATGTTGAAAGTCATACCACCGCTACTGCCCAGTCTCCCAGAAACTTTAGGTCTGCTTTTGACCTGTCCGAGTCTTCCGCGCACTTTACTTATCTTCGAATCTTTACGTCGTCAGCGCACAGAAGAGTCGGGCAGCTTGGATGGTATGATAGGTCACTGATAAAAGTCAAAAATATCATTGACACTGGGATAGAGCCCTGCGACACTAGTGATGACGAGGTGTGTCTGGATAATCGTACCCAGTTGATCTTAGTGCAGAATTTCCTTTCACCTAGGTAGTCCTTCAAACATGAGAGAAGCGGCTCAGCTATACCTGCCCAACTTATTTTGTGTAGAAGAAGGTCATGGTGAACTGTGTCAAATGCCTTCTCAGAGTCTAAGAAGACTATGTGGACTGGAACATTCATATCTCAGAATGGTGTCTAATCGTTCCAAGCTGATAGTAGGTCTGTCACACAGGATCTGCCTTTCCTGAAACCATGTTGTGCTTCATGGAGTCTGGTTATCCTACCTTGGTGCTCCCTGGTGTGATCAATTATAATATCCAGTACTTTCTATAGCACTGGGAGTTGCGGTACTGGTCCATAACTAGTGGCATTTTGCCTTTCCCCACCCTTGAAGATCGGAGAAAGGATTGCTCTCCTACACTCCATTGGCAGTTTCCCCGAATCCATCGGGTGTTGGAACAAGTCGCCTGAGGACCTACAAAGAGCTTCGGCTCACTGTTTCAGAACAGATGGTCTGACGTCATCAAACCCCGGGGACTTTCTGGATGCGAGTCTCTGTATCTTTCCTAGTACTGTTGTCGAGTTTACCTAGGGAGTAGCCACTAGGTCCTCCTCCGGTGAAATAGTAGTGTCGCCATTTCGGTCCGTACCAGTAACACACACTTTGCTGTTTAAATGTTTGGCGGAGGCAAAACCGAATGCTTTAGTCATCTCCAGACTAGTGGTGTTGACTATTTGGACCTAGTTAGGCTCCTGAAGAAGTTCGGACCAGATTGCCGAACGAAACGTTGGAATTAATCATTTCAATTTCGCTGAGATTTTACAAATATAACTTTACAAATATTTATCTGTTTAAACATTATTAACTTGTAGACGATTCACGATTTGATATTATATCATATTTGATCGTGCCTGTAAAAATGGCATGCATTCTCATGTAAATTTATATGTATATATGAAAATATACATTATCATTATTTTAGTCACAACACAACTAAGGAAAAATTCTTCATTATTGAAGAGAGGCACCCAACGTATTCTGCGAACAGAGTGGAAGGCTTGTTCAATGTATCGAAAATCCAAGAGTCAGACCGACCATGATAGACACCAGATAAATATTTGATACATATATATAAATACACTCATTGTCTGCGCCAGGCCATATAGTTATTGAATTGTACAGTTGTCTTCCAGGTTGAGCGGGAAAATCGACTTCGTTTCATATTCATCCTGTGGTTGTCGGCATACGATAACCAACCAATATTGAGGTAAGTACAGTGTTTACAAGGGAATGAAAGCTGTTCTAGAAAAATTAAAGTGCTAAGGCGAATCATTGAATTGTAATGAAATAGGTAAGTGCAATTATCATTAATAAGTGCATAAAGGAAACCCCCTAGGCTGACAACGTTCATTTGCAATGTATAAGGCTACCCATATAGTTCGTACTGTCATGATGTCCACTTTTGGTTTTAATACATTTATCCTCATGCCGGTTGTTTTTATTTTATACATTTTTGTGCATTTGGTGCACAACCGTACCCTACAGAGAATAGGAATAGAATAAGTCGAATCAGATTCACAAAGAGCTATAAAATGTTAGGTTTAATGGGATATAATGAGGATCAAGTAAAGACGTTATTAGAAAATGCATGGAATGAGACATTGTGAAGTGGTATTCAAAGATCCGACAATGGACAGCAAGTTAATTTATAAGATGCTTCACAAATCTGTGCAGATCCCATATGGTCGCATCTCAACAATAGGCTGAGCGAACGGTATATGTTTAAAGGCAGAAGCATGATCTTTCTAGGCGTTCATTATTATCCTTTTTCAAGATAAAGATCTAAGCCCTCATAAAAATCAGAAATATCTCGAGCCGTCAAATTGCATATTGGTGTTCCTACAGAAAGAGGTGATTCAGATTAGTGACCACCACCATATCTACTGATCAGCTAGTGCCACCCTCCCTCCTTTTATGATGTTAGGCTCTGAGACTATGATTATTGTGGCTACCGCAAATATATTGCTTGGTACCAGACATGTTCGTACCTCATATTTCATCTCCCTAGCCTTCTTAATGAGTGCTTCCAGTAGCTCTCCACATGCATCTTTATGAACATTTTGCATATGTGCGCATGCGTCCCAATGAATAGATTACTTTATAAGTAGTTAAAAACTTAAAGAGTAAAAAGAATAGGTTTCGTGAATAGTGGAGCAAGATTCAGCAGAACACTATAATTAGGGTTCAATGTAGGTAGTGTGAACTGAAGGTAAGGTCGATTGGCAGGACTTAGTGTACTAAATTACCATGACAGTCTTATATATAGTAAACATTTGACATTGCAAAGTAATCTGTCTACACATATTATGAAAAGATATTAACACTGAACCAACAAAATTTTAGCATTTGGTTAACGGTATTGAAATAAAGGGTCGGTACCTGAGATGAATGTTTAAATAATCGCTTTAAGAATTTCCCAGTGTCCATCGACAGAGAGCTCGGCTCGGTTCATATGCCATTTTGCGTTAGACAACAGCCTCCGCATTTCCGTATGGTCCGCCTTCCTATAGCACAGACATGGTCGCGGAATGTCCCACTCTAGGTGCTCACGGAGAATATAAATCAACCTATGTCAATGTAGTTGAAGATTGAACGATC